AGGGAAAATATCTCAGTAAACCCAATGCTTATTTAAAAAACACAAAACTTAATACTGTTAATAAAACTGAAAAAACACTTTCAGGAGGGGGTTTGGGGACAAGTTTCAGTCCAACTTCAACCATTTACAAAGTCACACTGTGACTTTATAAATGCTCCAAGTTGGACTGAAACATTGTTGCAAGCTCTTCCTCTCCCATGTGAGGGTTATTTGTGTATTATTCCAGTCACAGTACTGTGCATTTTTGTACTTTAATATTGCTCAATTTAAACTATAAATGGCTAAAATTTCAGGTGAAAAGCTTAGCTAGTTAGTTATGCTGGTTAGGTTTTTCTAGTTGCATACTCAGTTATTTACTTAATTAGGTCCTTTGTAGGAAAACTTTTTAAATTGAATATTACGTCCTCAGATGCAAAAGGTCAATTAGGTCCTCTGCTGAAAAACCAGTCAGGACATCTTGAGAAGTGGCAGCTTCACACATCATGAGTGACAAGGCCATCACCATGCCTTGATGCTACAAACCTGAACACTCCTCCAGGTGCTCACCTCACTCTTGTCATCCCTGAGAGTTCTGAACACTTCTGGGGGTACTCACGTCAGTCATCATCGTCCCTAAAAGCTCCAGATGCACCCTGGGTGCTCACGTCGTTGACGTGACAGCTCTGGACCCCCCACCCTAGACACTCATCTCTTCATCCCAGAGAGATCTGGATAACCCCCCTCCCCAGGACACACAAATGGACCCCAAGGGAAATAAGTCACATTGACTTTTTGGGTTATCCTTTGTAATTTACAGGTACCTGTGCCTAAATTAACTTACTTTAACCACACTGTTATCATTGTCTAGTCCCTAAGAGCTCCAGATAACCCCCTCCCCCAGGTGCTCACCTCGCTGGAATCATCCCTGAGAGCTCTGGACACCCCTTTCTTTCCCAACACTCACCTCGTTGTCGTCATCATCGTCGTCGTCCCTCAAAGCTCTGGATATAACACTGGAAGTGTCGTCCTGAGCAGCAGACGACACTCGTGCAGCAGCAGCCGCCTCAACCGCTTCCCCCATCACCTTGGCTGCCTCTTTCTGAGCAGTAGGGCTCAATATCTGACTCTCCGGGGTGGCCTCACTGCTGGCCACACCACTGTCCCTCTCTGACAGCTCTAGCAAGGTAGCCATGGTGGGTAAGACAGCAGGTAGAGCAAATTACAACCAGACTTGCACCGTCTCTCACACACTTCCTCCACACTGACTCTGATCAGGGTTATGTAATAGTCTACTATCCTCACATTATACCATCTACTTATAAACCTATTACTATTAAAGCTTGGCAAAAATTGTGTGTTAGCGTCATTAAAGTAAATCTCTAGATGAGATAAGTTAGGTAGTTTGTTGTCAACAAATATAGATATTGTCATCCGTAAATATCATTGTGAGCCGCTGGATGTTTGTATGCCGGTAACAAATTACTCATATAAATATTTGTAACTTGTCACCCTTCTTTTCTTGTTGTTCTTCCCTGACTCGGCATATTGTTTAAAGCGCTAAATATCAGCCTTTTACTCTTCGTTAAATAAATCTTAAGGAAAAAAAATGCAGATTTTGTACGGCTGTGGAGAAAGCCATGCTAGTGAGGGGCTCTTGATCTAGAATTAACCCTGAATACCTTACATCCCCCCCCCCACAAGCGCTGTATGATCCCTTGATTATAATAATAATAATTTGGAGAAAGCCAGTCACCTTAAGGATGCCAAAGTCTGGCTCTAACCAGGAAATAAATGATCTAGTTCACTACAGCTTATTAGCGGGTTATATAATTGAAATAAATAAAAACAAAATATAATATCTTTATTTCTACAAGTATATGTACAAGGTATACAGGCCTAGCTGACGTCAATGACATACTACTATATAGAAAGCCACTTGTTATGCAGAGCATTTCGGGAAAATAAAATCAGTTTTGATAAATTAGACACATGTGCAACTCTTGGGTATCTTTATTGAGGAAACGTTTCGCCACACAGTGGCTTCATCAGTCCATACGTAGGAGAAACTTGAAGAACAGGAGAAGAATGAGGTAATCAGTCCCTCAACCTTGAGTCGATGTGTTCAGTCCATCAATCTTGAATAGAATACGGCATATCTTCGGAGAAAAAGAAGCACCTTAATAAACCGTAGGCAGGGAGAGGTGAAGCAGTCCATAGGTCGTGTCACATTTGTTCAAATGTGGAAGTAGATCGTGCCCAAGAATTAGCAAGCTGAAGAATTCCTTAGTATTAAGATCCCAAGAAGTTGCAATGTCTGACAGATTTGTAGATGAAGGTTCAGAGAACCGACATGTTGAATAAATTAGACAGATGTGCAACTCATTCTCACCTGTTTCTTCAAGTTTTCTCCTACGTATGGACTGATGAAGCCACAGTGAGTGGCGAAACGTTTCTCAATAAAGATAACCCAAGAGTTTCACATTGTCGAAATGTTATCAACAAGTCGGTTCTCTTAACCATTTCATCTACAAATCGTCCAGACACGCAACTTCTTGGATCTTATACTTAGAATTCTTCGCTTGCCCAATTTCTTGGGCACGAACCTACTTCCACATTGAACAAATGTACACACCTATGACTGCTGCACCTCTCTGCCATACGGTTTAAAACTGCTTCTCCGCTGAATATGCCGTATTCTATTCAAGATTGATGGACTGAACACATCGACTCAAGGTTGAGGACTGATTACCTCATTCTTCTCCTGTTCTTCAAGTTTCTCCTACGTATGGACTGATGAAGCCACTGTTTGGAGAACCGTATTCCTCAATAAAGATACCCAAGAGTTGCCATAGTGTCCTAAATTTATCAACATGTCGGTTCTCTGGACCATTCATCCTACAAATCTGTCAGACACTGCAACATCTTGGATCTTAATACTTAGGATTCTTCCGCTTGCCCAATTCTTGGGCACGACCTACTCCACATTGAACACATGTGACACTACCTATGACTGCTGCAACCTCTCCCAGCCATACGGTTTATACTGTCTTCTCCGCGATATGCCGTATTCTATTCAAGATTGATGGACTGAACACATCGACTCAAGGTTGAGGGACTGATTACCTCATTCTTCTCCTGTTCTTCAAGTTTCTCCTACGTATGGACTGATGAAGCCACTGTGTGGCGAAACGTTTCCTCAATAAAGATACCCAAGAGTTGCACATGTGTCTAATTTATCAACATGTCGGTTCTCTGAACCATTCATCTACAAAATCAGTTTTGTCCCAGGATGCGACCCACACCAGTCCACTATCACCCAGGTACCCACTTTACTGATGCGTGAACAAAGGCAACAGGTGTCTTATGGAAACACGTCCTGAGGTTTTCACCTGTACCGAGAATCTAGTAAGTTTATTCAGGTATACACAAATACAGTTACATAGAAGCATATGTGTAGAGAACCTAGGATAACCCAAAAAAAGTCAGAGCAATCGAGCTACAAACATACTTCAGTGGTATATTATAGAGTTCATCTAGAATAACCGAAATGAAAATAAGTCATTTTGTCTTACTTTCCTGTTTGGGAACTTCTGTTAGTTTTCTGTTACCATTTAAATTTTATTTTTTTCCTCTCCCAGACACCGGGAGATAGAACTCAACACAGATTATTATAATCAAGGGGGAAGCGCTAAACCCGGAGGATTATACAGCGCCTGGGGGGGGATGTGGAAGGCATTCAGGCTTAATTCGGGGAACTGGAGCACAGATCCAATTCCCTAAATCAAGAGCCCCTCACCAACATCAAGGAAACTCAACACAGAAGAACCAATAATACCGGAGATTGTAGCCTAGGAGGCGGGGCCAGGAGCTGCGACTCTACCCCCACAAGCGCAAACTCAGACATCAAAGCAAACACCTGGGACTCTAGCGGCGGCTTTAGTAAGTTCATTTATATAGATACAGGAACACATAAGTACAATTATCATTGTGGCATGCAAAGAGTAGGTAACCTTTATTCGGCGCATGTACACACCCTCATTTACAGGCTATCTCCCCCAACCAGCGAACCAGGTTGCTAAGAGTTGATGATGGGGCCCCGTCGTTCAACTAGTGACCAGGTTCTAGCCAATAAGAAGATGGTTTTGGCAATCGCAGAGGTTATGTGGGTACCGCTCTCCTGTCTGCCCTTGTCATTCCCATTCTAGAGCTGGTTGAAGCACAGTCTGCTATCTTGTGGCTTCTATTTCTGCCTTGCTTACCGTGGAGTGCACTATACTTATCACTGTACATAGTGTACATATTGCTGTTCTAAATTGGTGAAGGATAATGTAAGTCTAAACTTTTTCTGCTGTGTTTATTTTGCTCCCATTACACCCGGGATAACAGGCCATTTGGAATCCTGGGTTGTAATAATCATACATAGTGTAAATTACCTAAGAACCTGTGAAAATTTGTCTGGGCTGCCTCCAAGTGAGTCGCCTACCCTGGCAAGCTCTGTCGACACAGAGCTCTGAGGTCGGTACCTCAGCCTCACAAGTGGCTTAGGACAGATTTTCATAAATGATTGATGTTGCAAGAAATCTCGCCTGCATGCACGTTTAAAGGACTAACTTACTTGGTGTTGCAGCATATATCCTGATCTTCAACCTCCCTAAGCTTAGCCTCTTTGGACTTCCCCTCAGAAACCACGTGCAACCGGGAGCCTTAATTCCTGCAATATTCAGTTGTTATTAGTGACCTGCCTGCACCTCAGAAATTCCTATATCCAAGGGGGTGTGTATCCCCTAGTATAACTATGCAGACACGGACACTAGCTTCTAGGCAGACAAGAGATGCTGGTATGTACTGGGTATGCACTGCCAGCTGCACAAAGACCTACAGTTCAACTCGCTCACAATTTTCCCCAGACACTGGCCAGAAATCCTACGAAAAAGTGGAGGTCTTGTCTTACTGTATGGGCCTGACTGAGGTCATCTACGGTACATAGAGGTGCCTCTACCAGATTTCCCCAGGTCTCATATGTGAAGACACTTGGGGGGGGCGCCGTCTGCTGATCATGGCACGTCTTGTCCAGGTGGTGTCTGGTCCTAGAAGGGAGAGCTGGTGTCTTCAAGACCCGCATCTCGTCATTCAAACTTGGGCTGCCAGTTCTCCCTAGCTAACTTAACCTAGTGTTTGCCTACATTATCGGCCTATTACTACCTATGTTAAGGTCTTGGGTCTACATTATTATCTACAGTTGCCTTAATAATCCTAATATTAGTGTACTAACAGTAAAACTATCTACTTCTTCCCTGAAGGGTAAATCTATAAATTTAGTACCTCCCATCCACATTGGCCAATCCGGGAGAGAATGTTTGTGTTTTGGGTTGGGTGTAAGGGCCCTCGAACGGTGTTTTTTCCCCGTTGGGACTTCTCAGACCGAATAAGTTCCAACATAACCCAAAAAAGTCAGTGACTTATTTCTATAGGAGTTCTTAATATCTTATTATTTAAAGCCTTGCAGTAAGTTACAGTAAAAATCGAGGATTTTTTTAACATCGGATACATTAGCAGTGTGCTTGTGGAAATTTATTCGGTCCTAAAGTTCCACAGGGCAGATACGTCGTACAAAGATCCCATCAGGTCACGGATGGAATGGCTGGGTTGGGTGGCCCTTACACCCACCCAAAACATACACACACACACCCGGGTTGGCAAAGGTGGTTGGAAAGGTACATCTTAATTGATAGATTTACCCTTCAGGGAAGTAGGTAGTTTATGCTGTTAGTACACTAATATTAGGATTATTGAGGCAACTGTAGATAATAATAATGTATACCTAAGACCTTAATGTAGGTAGTAATAGGCCGATAATGTAGGCAAACACTAGGTTATGTTAGCCAGGGAGAACTGGCAGCCCAACTTTGAATGCTGGGCACAGGCTTGAGACCACAGTGCCCTTCTTCTAAGACCAGACACCATCGGAGCAACAAGTGCCGTGATCAGCAGGCGGCGCCCCCACGTGCCTTTACATACTAGACCTGGGGAAAACTGATGGAGGAACCTCGAAGAACCGTAGATGACCTCCTCCGTCAGGCCCATACAGTAAGACGAGACCTCCCTTTTCTCTTTCAGCTTCTGGCCAGTTTCTGGGGGAAAATTACAAGTGAGTTGAGCTGTGGGCCTTTGTGCAGGTAGGCAGCCCATGACCAGTACGTACCCACGTCTCTTTTCAGCCTTTGAAGCTGGTGTCACTTTCTATATAGTTATACTAGGGAATACACACCCCCCTTGGGCACAGGGATTTCTGAGGTGCAGGCAG